GGGGAGCCGCTGCGCCGGGGGCGTGCTCTGAAGCTGCTTAGAGCCTGTCTAGAGCCATGCTGCGCCACGCAGAGGGTCACGACGAAGGGGCCTGCGGGGCGCAGCGTTGGTCTGACACCACCCTGCCACCTTGCCCTGTCGGGCTCGGGTGCCCGCCCGGGCTATGGGCGCTATTGTCTCCTCCACTCCTTCTCCCATGGCCTTCTGTTGTTTGTGCTGTGCCGGGCCCTGTGCCGGGCTTCTACCCTCCCCCTTCCTCCACCCCTGCTCTCTCTCTCTCTCTGTCTTCCTCCCAACCCCAATAACCCCCATCTTCCGTCCTGCCTTCCCCACCCTCTCTTGCGCGGGCAGGCCCCGGGACCCTAAGCAGCGCTTGCTCCTTCCGATGAGCCTCAACGTCAAACGGCTACAACACAAGGCGTGACGGCGGCCGGCGGCCGGCAGGGCTCTACCACTACCGCCTCCACCCGGCCGGGCTCGGGCTCCATCGCTTCATCCCCTGGCCCACAGCCCCGCCGGCCCCGCCCCGCCAGCAAAGCAGCAAAGCCCCGCTCTCCCAACAATACCCCAACACCCCAACGACCCCAACACCCACAATACCCCAACACCCCAACGACCCCAACACCCTACAGAGCCCCCCCCCCCCCCCCCCCCAAACCTCACCCGGCTCGTCCCGACTCTATTGAACTGACTGCCACTGCCTCAGGTCCCCCCGGGGCAGGCCCATTATAAGGGCCCGCGCATGCACGGCTGGCGTGGCGACCACTGGACCGAACTGACCCGCTACCCACCGTGTGTGGCCTTTCCCTAGTGTACTTCCGGGTCTCCGCTAGACCTGAGGGAACACATCCCCGTCGGGCCCGCGAAGATGTTTGTTCTTCTATTTCCGGTGTAGTCGAGGGAGTACTCTATAAGAACCAGTAAGTACCGGGTGATTCAGAGCACGCGCCGCCCTGTTGCGGGTTTGCCTATCCTCGACCCCTCCCCTCCTCACCTCTCACCCGTGCGCCCGCCGAGTCGAGGATAGGCAAACCCGCAACACGGCGGCGCGTGCTCTGAATCACCCGGTACGTAGACAACGAACAGTCTCACCAGCCCAGAGACACAGGCAGTGGGAACAGGTCACAGGCTGGGTCGGGCGGGCAGGGGCACTACTGAACGCTAGGCTACTGGAGGGAAGGGGAGGGGAGGTCAGCTTGTCACTCCGCGTCAGTCTAGTTTGCAGAACGGGGCGGGAAAGTAAGTAGACGCGCTGGATGAGATGAGTGCAGGGGTGGAGCGGGAGAGAGAGGGAGAGAGAAGGGGGGAGGGGGTGGGGGGCAGGGGAAAGATCGTATCAGCCCCACCCCCCTCACCCCATCCAAAGCAACAACACGGGCTCTCAGGATTAGATTGAAAGTGTAGCTGGCAGAAAAGGGGACGAGGGATGAGAGATGGGCCGGAGCGGGGGAGGTGAGCAGGGTAGAAGGCCCAGTTATGTCACAATTAAAGTTTGTGAATTGTGTTGATAGCTCGTTTATCCGGTCCCAATTTATAACGTAACACTGAAATTAAGGCTCGGTTGTTGCACCTCGGACAGTCGTGCCCACGGCCCCCTGCACCGCGCGCGCCCTTCCGGATGCCTACTTGGCGTTCGAAAGTGGCTGGAGGGAGTGAGACGCTCGCTCCGGGTCATAGCTCCCGCTCACGCACATTTGTTTTCGGATGCCATAAAGCGGCATCAGATGCCCGCGTGCCTCTCTCGTGGAGACGGGGAGGCGATATGGTTCTGAGCTGGACTGTACCTGTCTGCAGCAAGCAAAGAGCTACGGCGCGACGCGAGTGGGGGCCCTTTGCAGTTCCACATTAATCATAAAGGCAATCAACGGCATTAGTCGTCTGGTGGGTCCAGGACGGCCCCGCCCCGCCCGCCATTGCCACGGAGCGGCTCTCTCAAAGCTTTTGTTTGATTGGATGAAAGACACCCGTGTTCTGGGCCATTCCCATTAATTAACGATAACGCTGGGGAGCAGGGGCGTGTCGAGGAGCGGACGGGAGCAAGGGGAAGGGGGGCGGAGCGCGGGAGCGACACACAATGGGGAGGGGGACACACGGCTCGCGCAATACCCGCTCGCTTTTTGTTGTTGTGTTGTGTTATTTTTTTGCAGGCAGGGCGGGTGAAAATACACGCACCAGTTCACGCCTATGGCTTCTCTGTGCACTTCCAAAAAGATGTAGGCGCAGATGCTATCCTGCTTGAAGGAACTCGAGTGATGTATACATTACCGTGTGTCAGGGCTACGACACAACTGAGTTGCGGTTTGCCTACCCCAGGGGCCTATGGTGCCTCAGCGCGTAGGTAAACCCGCATACTTTTGTGTCTCAGCCCTGACATATGGTACGATGTAACTGTATCAGATCTAGGCCAAGTCTTGAAGAAGGCAACTTCACCCCGTGTAGTAAGTATTGTACACCAGGTGGCTGATTCACGGCGCCCTTTCGTAGTTATACTGTACCTCATGCGCGGGTGCGGGCGTGCTAACCTCACTGCCCAAGGCTCCTTATGCCCCCGTGCGAGTCGGCAACCCACCCGCCGGTTTGCATGCGGCACAGTATAACTATGAAAGTGCGCGGCGTGCGTCAGCCACCTGGCATGTTGCTTATCTACCCCCACCCCGTTTTACTTAGCGCCTTCCGTTGGATGGACAGTATGTTGGTTCTCCTGGAATGTGCTCGCGTCATCGTCCTTGCTGCAAGTTCTCTCCCGGAGCGCACCTGTGTGGGTCGGTCTTCTTGGTCCGGTCGAACTCGCAAACTGCATCGCGAGCGCGAGGGCGGGACAGGCCTGCACGCGATTTAAGGTACGGGTTTCCTGGGGGGGGGGGGGTCTGGTGAAGGACTACGAGTTTGTTTGTAATGTGCCCGCGGCGAGGCGCTAACACCACACCGCGGCCCCGGCCCCGGTCGCCACGGCTCACGGGCGGGGTTAAGTTCAAATACTACTGCTCTGCCCTGGCGGCCGGGCCGCCGGGCCCCTGCTCCGCCCGGTGGAAGTTTGCTCTCTCGTCCCGGCTACACTATGTTTACCACCGCGCAGCTCACAGCCCCCGCTGCCCCCGCTGCCCCCGCTGCAACCCTCCCCGCTCCCAGAGGGGTACTCGACGCTGTGGGGCCTAACCAACTGTCTGAGTGGAGGTGGAGATCTGATCGGGTGAAGGGCAGCGCGCAATTTGCGCCATCTTTACTTTCCTCACGGACCTCTAATGAATGAGTGACTCGATAACATTTGCAGACGCTACGAGCTTCCAGGAGGGAGAATGGGAATTATTATGCCCCTCCCCCAAAATCAATATATGCTTTGATAAGTTCAAAAAGAAATGTATAACTTGTGTACGAAGCCAAAAGTGGTCTTTCGGCCTGTTTCGGTCATCGCATGGTTCTGCGTGGCCTGCTCTGCTGTCGCCATCCTGGGGGCGGTCTGGGCCTGGGCCAGTGGGGCCCGCGGCGCCTCGCTTCGGAGTGTTTACCGTTCCATTTCCATGCGGCTCGGTGCGTACCTCTCCCCG